CCCGTTCCCCAGCCAGCGCGGCCTTACCTCAGCCTCGGGAGGAAAGCTCCGCGGCCGGGCACGTCCGAGGGAGAGGCAGCCCCGCACGGGGACGCGGGCTGCGCCAGTCAGACCCGTTCGTGCAGCCCCCCCGAGCCCTCCGCGCTCGCACCCTTCGGCGCGCGCGTTGTGCGGCATCGAGCAGCGACTGTCTCCCTAATCCTGCCGGTTGCAACACCCAGAAGGCAAAACAAAGGGTGCAACCGGTGGCAGCGAAGGTTGGGACGAGGGGGTGAGGAATCCCAGCTTGGAAACATTGTTCTGGGAACAAAGGCACAGTGTTCGCTCCAGCACGGCCTGGGATTTCGATCCACCAACACAGATTTCTCGGCTGCCACCACCGTGCTGGTGAGCGGGCTCCAGTGCCCGGTGGCACCGCGGGAGCCCTGCACACCGCCACCGGGGCTGGTGAACTGTCGCAGAGCTGCTGCCTGAAGCTCAGGGCTTCCCACCTCTCACCTGCTGCGGGTCCCCTGAGGCAACTCATCCCTGTGCCACCACCTCTTCCAGAGGAAGAGGAAGCACAAATCAACGCCCAGCGCACAGCCACGGTGCCGTTTGTTCACGGCTGTGGAGGGAAATCTTATCCTAGGGCCACCAAAACAGGAACAGATCAAGCAAGCAGCACAAGAAGCGAGCGCGCACCCACCAGCCCCGGCAATGGAGGGCTTCCCCACGCGCAGCAGTGCGGGCACGCGTCACGCCTGGCCTCTCCCCAACCTTCACCCTGTCGGTCCTCCGAACCACAAACGCCTTCCTCCCGCCACATGCTCAACCATCTCAACTCAGCAGGGCTGCTAAGGGTGCTCGATGAGTCTCAACATGGTCCAGGGGCAGCACTGACATGCTTTAGGCTGTCAGGAAAGCTGGTGTGAGTCACCAGTCCTTCAGGGAACAGAGAAACGAACCTGAAAAAGCGAATTCCGCTTTCCACATGTTCACTCTGCTCTTACCCTTCCAGTTATTTTGCCGATGGAGGTTTCACAGCCACATCTGCAAAAGCAGGGGAGGGAGCAAGGAGAGCCCCATAGAAAAGTCTTGGGATATTTTGAAGCTGGACCAGAGGTGCTACAAACACACAGTATGCCCATTAACTGCTTCTGGAGGCAGCCACCTGCCTCCAGGACCTCCTGGTGAAAGAAAGGCAGCCTTGTTTTGTGGTGTTCATTTTATTACAAAACTCTCAGTACCTCAACACACCTCAACCCTCAACAGAGCGACCAGAAAAACAGAAACACGGCAATTAACTGCTCACTGAAATGCAACGGGGCTTCCTAGAGAACAAGCATCACTGCTGGCCTCCCATGCCCCACCTAGCAAAGCAGCAGCTCTAACGAGCCTCTGTAGAAAGGAGGTCCGCTACTGTCACTAGATGGAGCTTCTTCCCACAAGCGTTTCTGCAAGGTGGGCAGCGCGCAGCACTTGGAAGAGGGATCCGATGCTGGCGCAGACTTTAGGGGGTCCAAGACGACTGTGGCAGGCCGAGATCCACTTGGCTGAAAGGAGTCTGGAAGGCAGCAGAGATGCCAGAAATGCTGCAGAGCTGTACCCCCACAAACAAGCTCCTCTGCCTGTTAACACGTCCGTATCAGAGCTGCATTGGCACTTATCTGCAACAGAGCACGGTGACTGTCTGCTCCGGATATGCTGACAAGGGGATTTGGTTGTGGTTGGTTTATTTGTTTTTTAAAGGGAGAAGGCAACACATCACTGCCATTGAAATGACTGGTGACTCCCCGTTGCTCACAGGGCAAAGCTTAGGCCAGCTGGTGCTTTGAAGGGTTGGTTGTTGCTGATCCAAACACACCTGCTGTTCTTGGTGGGTAAATGTTTGTTCTCTCCTGAGCTCTGGGGTGCTGGTGGCATTTGGCTTTGCTCAGTTCTTTTTGGTCTTGGGAGTGTCGTACTTTCTCTTGCTCGAGTACCACAGCAGCAGCGGGATCCCAATGGAAGGCAGGGTCATCACGCCAAAAGCTGCCCAGTCCAGCTAGAAGGCGAAATTGTTAGGAAGGAGTCGAAACAAATCATGCAGAGCCAAGCCTTACAACCATCAGATCTTGTACCCTCAAAGCTCCTCTCCCAAATCCCACAGTGCCAGCTCTTTCTCAGAGCCGGCTAGGACGAAAACCATTGGCTCTTTCTGCGAAATTATCTTCTGGACAATTGATGCCAATTAACCGCAATCCCTGTTGAGCGTTTTCCAGGTGACTGTAGTGCAAAGCAGATGCACCACAAACGGGCACGACATCCCCCTGTGCTGTGTTATGCAGTCACTGTAGTATAGCACGCAGGCAAATGAATTACCAATCGAAAGATACTTACAAAATGAGGGGAAAATCTCCTGTCAAACTCACGCTGAGCCAGAATTCCTCCTTGCCCAGGAGCACTAGTGAAACCAACCTAAAAAAGGGGAGGGGGAGAGCTAGTATTTGCCACCTTTCTTTGTTACAGCACAGGACGAGTTGTCTAAGAAAGCAAGGGCATGCATCATCCCCTAACAAGCAGCTCAGAGATAAGTCAGACACATCTGCTGTTCAGTTTGGGCTAGGATCCCATAGACACTAAGTAAAGTCACTCACCACAACCTGTCCGCCCTCCTGTGCCAGGTACGTGATGGTAGCAGAAGTGAAGTTGAAGTAGCCAGCTTTGAGAGGCCGCAGAACCACGGTGTGGGACACATTACTAGCTCTGAGATCCATAAGTTAAGGAAAATAGTTGCATTTCATCAAAGGAAGGAAAGTAAGAAGACAGGTAAAACACAAGACTCGAAACAGATGGTAAAGTCAGTCTGGCTGACAGATCTGAGTCCTCTGTAGTTACACATATCCAGACCCATCCAAAGTCAATCCATCCACTCCTCTTTCCCAGACATATGAATTGCACAGTGATCTGACTGCAAGGAACTTTTTACACAGCACCTTCAAGGAGAACAGAGGTTTGCATCCAACACTCTGGCCAGGGTACGGCGGGCTGGAATTCCAGGGACAAGGATAGGAGAGCTCAGGGTTGTTTAGGGATAAAAACAAGTGTTGGGAGGGGAGATAGTTTCACAACTTGCAAAGATACGGAGCGATCCTGTCCCACTTGACATTGAGCATCCCAGAGACGATGCCAAAATCCTCCGGGGGAAAAGAATCATCCGACAGCTCCACATCTAAAGCAGCACTAAATGCAACAAAGAAAGAGATGACAAGAGAGTCCCAGACCTGGTATTCTACTCATTGGGGACTGCACCACAGAGGGATGGCAGTTCCATACTGGCAATTCAGCGGCCAGAACTGACTTCTGGAACATAAAAAAACACCCAGAAAAGACGGGGAGGAGAGACAAAGTGTATTAAAAAGAGACTGCGGAGCAGGTAGGGTCTGACATGAAGGAGGAAGGTAAAGCTGAGAGAAGCTGCAAAAAAGGCAAGGAACTAGATGTGGAAAAAAGCTCACAAAGCCAAGAAAGGGAGGGCGCGTACACAAAAAGGAGAGCACTGCATCACTCAGGAATATAACTGTGCCACGGTGGATAGAGAGCTAGAGCAGCCAAGAGGTGAAAGTGGAAACAGCGGAAGCAGAACAATGGAACAGGAAGGAAAAGGTAAATCGCTGGGTCAGACCTTCAAGCGCTGGTGGCGGGAGCTCGGAGTTAGGGGGAACAAAGGCAACAGCATGTCATGAAAGAGCCTAAAACCAGTCTTCAAGCAGTTCTGTGAACACTGACTTGCTCTTCACATGTGCAGAGACCCACTGACCCCTTCAAAACCCCCCCCCAAATCATATGCCCTTCCAAAAAGGTCACCTGTAAAGTTTATCTTCCTTACTATGGGAACCTCTCGCGGCCAGCACCATGCTCCCAAGGAGCAGGCATGAAGGAAGAGCCTCAAAGGAGTTTTAGAGTAGACCCTAATGAGCTCAAAAAGGGAAGAAAGCAGATACATTTCTGGAACAGGAACCTGAGCCAGTCTCTCACCAGGTCAGTGCCTTCAGAGCACATCTCACACCCCCAGCACTACAGCAGGAACATGCAAAAGGCTTTTACTCTAGGGACCTCCCCTCAGCCTATCCTGTCCATGCAAACTGCAGAGACACGCACATAACATTTGCCCCCTGCACTATCAGGAGCACAGATAAAGCTTACCTGGAGCCAACATTGTAGATGTTGTACTGCAGAGTCAAATCCTTGCCCTCCACAGCATATCTGTTTAATAGAGATTTGGAGGCCAGTAGCCGGGCCCCTTCCTCACAGTGGGCCACATAAAACAGGGCAAACACAGCAAGAACCAGGAGCTTCATCTACGAGTAAAACAAAATGAAATGTCTTTGACAATTTCATTGCAAAGAGAACACATATGGGACAGCTAAAGACAGCAATGCAAATATTCAGGTGCAGTGAGATATGAACAGCTGCATGCTTTACAGCAATATTGATAAGGGATCATTTAATGGAGCAGGGAGAAAACGACCCTGGCTCCACACGGGTCTGCAGCCACCCCAAAATACCTGTACACCTTCCTGTAAGCATCTAAGTAACGGCACAGCAATGGCCTAGATGGTTTTCTCCCTGTTCAAAGCCCCAACAGGTACCTCTCCCCTTTTTCACATCCCAGGAATTTGCAAAGGTTTCAGACCACAAAGCCTCTTCCAACAACTTTCAGAGCAACATTGTGACAATTAACTGTTTAGCTCCTATGTCCAAGAAACCTTCTCTCATGACTGATTCAAAAATTAAAAAGGCACCGTGAAGTGCAGCAGCTTTCCACCACTGTCTGTGCCACCTCTTACAAAACAGAGCTGGTTCTTTTCCCCACCAAATTCCCTGTTCCTCTCAGGGAGCACTAGCTCATTTCCAACATACGTTACTCTTTCCTATTCCTAGCCGCTGGGTACTACCAACTCCCTCCAGTGGCCTTTCAGTCCCCAGAACTCCCTGCCTCAGGCCACGTGTCCCTGTTTCCCTGAGCCCAGCATCTCTGGAGCTGCCCTGCAGACAGCAAAAGGAGACCATACGGTGATTATACGTGTTACCCAGAAGGGCACTTGTTAGCGCTTTACTATGCAAAAGCTGCTGACATGTCACAGCCTCCACTCTCTGTGCCAGGGCATCCTTCCTTTCCCTCAATACCCCCCCGCCCCGGCTTCCCTCCCTACGTTCCCACCCCAGGCTGCTCCTACACCCCACAGAGCCCGGAGACCCCAGGGCAGGCTCAGAGCTATCGCTCCCTGCAAACACTGGGCAAAGAACCACCCAGTTCCACTGACCGGTGCAGGCAGCAGACTCGGGAGCCCAGACACCAGTACTCCCCTTGACTCAGGGACACCCCTTCCCCCTTCAGCAGTGGCCACAGGCCCTCACATCCCTCAAAGCCTGCTCCCAAGGCAGCCCCCCTCCCCGGGCCACTGAAACCCAGCAGCACCCAGACCCTCACCCCCAGACACCTAACAGCCTGCTGCCTCCCTACAAGGACTCCCTCACCCCTTGAGGACCCCTCTGACCCCCAGACTCTCCTACATGCTTTCTTGCTTCTAGAGACAACCTCCCAATTCCTCTCCCTCCACGGCACCCTTTACCCCCACTCCATGGCTTCCCCATGCAGTTCCCCTGCCCCACTGACTCCCCAGGACTCCCTCACCCCTAAGCAGATCTCCCTTGCCCCACAGAAATCCCTACAGCACTCCCTCACCCAGCAGAGAGCCCCCCTTTCTTGCACAGACACCCTCTCCAGGACTCCCTCACGCCCTTGACATACCCCCTTCTTCCAGGACCCCTCCTCAGACCCCACTTTTCCCCCAGAGACCACCCTCCTAACACTCCCTTTCCTCCAGAGAGTCCCCTACCTGCCCCCAGAACTCTCCCCATGAACCTCCCCTATCCCTAGAGACCCCCCTCCCCCACAGCTCCCCT